ATCTGGATTATCATATAGTTAGTTGAAAAATAGTAATTGTGAGTAGTAACTGTCACTAGCAAAAGGTGAAAGCACTTAAAGACTTAGTAACTCTATCAAAATTAACCCACCCTCTGATCACTGACATCATTTAAATTAAAATACCTGGAAATGTTTTGGATTGAGAGCAATTGCACGATTAAAATCCAGAATCGAGCTGTCCTTCTGGAGTTTCACTTTACAAAGCCCTCGTTGGTAGAAACCTTCTGCAAAATCTGGATTTGTTTTCACAGCTCTTGTAAAATAATCAAAAGCCTAGAAGAGCATGTAGTTAAATTACACCACTTAGTAACAAAAAGTATTATTTTAATAGGTTAGTAAATTACAATTTTGTAACTATTAAAAAGTTTGAGTCTATTTTAATGCACTATCCTAATGAACCTTGTGAGGTGAATATAAATCATACTTAGGGGCCAGGAAGATAGCTCAGCAGATTATGTGCCTGCTTAGGCAAGCACACGGACAAAGGTTTGATCCCCTGCAGCACATGGCACTCCTTGGGTGTGCTGAGCAAGCCACTGAGACTGGGTGTGGTAGCACCCACCAGTAAACCCAGTGCTGCAGAGGCTGAAAACAGGAGGATCACTAGGAATCCAAGCTACGTAGTAAGACCCTGTACCATGTACCAAATACATTAAAAAATCAAACTTAGAAACAAACCAGGGCAATTATCATAACTAAAAGGCCTTCTTATTTCCAGACTAAATCTTCATAATTTATATTACTAGATTATAATGCTCTTAGGGTATAATTGTAATTGCTATTCTTTGAATTACATTTCTTAAAAGCAATCACAATCAGGAACATTTATCTTCCTTGATAATTAAAAAACCACAGGTGATATGTGGTCATGGAACTTTAGAGCAACACAACTCCAAAATTTTTTCCTAGTATCATAAAACCCAAGCTGAGTTTGCTCTGGTTGTCAAAAAAAACTGAAAACATCAAAAAAATTACAATTAATTTGATAGTTTCTATAATTTCTCAGTGGACAAAAAATCAAGGCACTTCTTTTTCTAGGTTTGAAAAGTCCAGTTTTAAGACACTGTCTATTTCATGACATGGTATAAAGACTGCAGTGTGTCTATGTGTATGTGTATGTTAAATATAAAATTGGATATCAATTATTCTACATATTTACCACATCAGTGACAATTCTGAAGTGTGTAAAATAGTTAGACTGAATAAATAAATGGTTTTCAGTGGATCCAACCATTTTAAAAACTAATTTCAATCTGATTTGAATTATTCAGTCACTGAGAAGAGCAGTCAAGTGAAGCAGCTGGGGTTCAGTCCCTGGCATGCCATGCCAGCCCAGCTCCCCGGGAGGATGCTGAGACCATTGATTGAGACTGGGCATGGTGCAATGCACCTGTAAACTCAGCGCTTGGGCAACTGAAAACAAGAGGATTACTGCAAGTCCAATCTACATAGTGAGACCCTGTAGACCCTATAAACCCTGTACTAAATACATAAAAAAGAGCAATCAAAGAGTGTTCTAATCTTTCCCATCTTTTTCTACAAAACATCAACCACTCAACTTAAACTACTTACCATTTAATTGTCACATTAATGCGATAAAAATTTTTTTGATACAATTATTTCTTAGAGTTAGATTTTTTGTTTTGGTGGGAAACATGCATTAGTCTTTAGAACACTGCTGACAAACTAGTATCAAATAAAATGAGTTTACTAAATGAAATAATTCATGGGACTTTCAGTTGCGAACTGACTGTATTAAACCACATTTCATAAACAGCTTAGGCCACGGACACTACGGGCACTGCTGAAATCGTACAGAAAGCAAGCAACCAGTTTCTTAAACCTCAAACAACCCATGCTTCTCAAGATTTAAAATACCATTTTCAAGTTGCCTTCCTCCACATAACAAAGACCTAAGTTATGCAGACAGTCTACTGAAGCAGCTACGACATTCGGTCCTTTATTAGAACTGGAAAAGAGTTCTAAGGCCTTCTTAAACATTCTTACTGCTTCCTATAAAGACAAAAAGAGAGAGAGAATTTTTTTCCTACTATTTATTTAACATGATGGCCTTAAATGTTAAACACAGCAACTACAATCTTGGTTCACACAAGTGCATACAGATCTGGGAAGCTCACAGGTCTTGTCTGGGTGCTACAAGAAGAGGACTCAGCTCCACAGTACAATCTCAGCAGGTCTCACCCAGGTGCCTCTCCTATACACTGAGACTTAACCAGTCCCACACACATTTATCTTTGGAGATATAAGTCCTAAATTCTAAAGGGTACTTTCGTAAGCAAAACTTCAATCTATAGATTATCTTATTATCAGTTTACTAGTAATTTCCCTGAATGGAACATTGGAAAGCTACTGGATAGAAATAAAAATATTGATGATGTCTGGCATATTTTAACATTGGTGATGTCTGGCATATTTTAGTCAACCATTATTTTGTCCCTCTGTTTTCCAAACGCAATTCTACTGGTACTAGGAAATACGTCACCACCACACATCTTCTATTTAAATTGCTTAGTCAAAATAGTTGAAAAAATAATTGAAACTCAATAATGAAAAAATTCAGTTTTCCAAACAGAAATGTCATTGAATAGTTAATATATCATTATGTATCATTATACATATTTATGTTTTCCAAAGTATGCATGCTTGCTGTTACTCCACTTTCTTAATCATATTAACCTGCTAATAAAACCACGAGCTCTAGCTGTAGTGTGCCGGGCGTCTCCGTCACTTTCCTTCAGCATTTGTTCTGCATGCTCACCAACCACTCCCTCGTCCTCACTCTCCACACATGATCTTGCATTGAAAATTAGTTTCCTTCTTTCTTTTCCCTTCTTTTTACTATTTTTGGTCTTATTCAGTGTTTCAAGAATAGAACGTGAAAAAAGATACATAGTAGATGCTTACTAAATGTCTATGCAGTTAGTGAATGTGCATTTATTTATTATTATTGTTTACTTCTTTTTTAACATTATTAACTTTACTGAAAATCAATAATTATATAGCAAATTAAAACTTTAGACAAATATTGAAATGTGAAAGATATAAGATGTAGACAGAGTGAATTTTAGAAAAATTTCTGAAATGAATACATGACATGAGATTAATAATAGATTACATATTATAAAACAATTATTGAGAAACTTAAATAAATATAAAATAAAAATTGGGCCAGCCTGATAGCTCAGCAGACTAAAGCACCTGCTTAAGCAGAGCATAGCAGCCAGGGTTTGATTCCTGCATGCCATGTGAATTGAGATTGGGCATGGTGGCACACGCCTGTAATTGCAGCACTTGCGAGGCTGTAAAAAGGAGAATCACTACAAGTCAAATCTACACAGTGAGACCCTGCAGACCCTGTAGACCCTGCCCTAAATACAGAAGAAAAGAGAAAAAAAAACAATAAAAATGTCTCAAATAAACATGAAGAAAAAGAGTTTACAGATCAGTCATATAATAGTTCACTCTGTGCCAAAATCAAGAAACTTAAACTCATATAATTAGAATTCTCAAAGTAGAATGGGGTAGGAAATACATTTTTAAAGATTTAAAATTTCTGAATTTAGTTAAAATTATAGCACCACATTTCCAAGAAAAATGAACCTTTTG